GAAGCAGTCTATAGAAGCAGTCTCCATGCAGCCAGCAATGGGTTTTGCTATGACCCTGCAATATAGTAATCCATAGATAGTAATCACAGGGCCAAGTCTTCATACCATGAGACCATCCAGACCACACACACCAGTCCCCAGAACCAAACATTACAACCAGATATGTGATCACACATCTAGAAGTCAGGAGGGCTAGCCTTTCAGCCCAAGTTGGAGAAAATTAAAGCTAAAAGGTTCTGCTGCTCTAAAACCAAATTTGACTGAATAGATAAAACTGAAGTTTACCATCAGTTCCAATGTACTGGGCTTCCCTGTGGCTGAAGCAACAACAGATCTAACACTAACTGAACCCTAGCTGCAGACCATTTGTGGTCTCTGAAATTGGACAAGTCAAAACCAGATCTGTTGCTGCTGCCTCCAATGTATAAAGACAGTGGTTAGCCGGGTATGGTTGCACACTTTGAATCCCAGCAACTCAGGCGGCAGAGGCAGGAAGATCTCAGAATTTGAAGCTAGCATGGTCTACAAGTTTCAGGACAATCAGGGTTATACAGAGAAACTCTGTTATCAGAAAAGTGTACTCAGACACCAAACATACAGTCAGTGCCCAAGGCTAGGTCTTAAATCGTGGCCCAAAAGAGACAGCAGGAAAAAAATGTTCTGGAAAATATCCCTTGGTAGGCAAATATGAAACAGATGGTCCCTTGGCCTCCGGGTTATCACCTGGTACAGCATAAGGCAGAAGAAGGTTGAAGCTCCTGAGCTTCATTATCCATCAGAATGGGGTGGGGGCTGGGGAGCAGAGGGCAGTAACAGAACCCATAGCTACTACAGGAGAATTTCCCTCAATGGCTGTGAGACACATGATTAGGTCCCTGGAAGTCATTCAAAACAAGGTTTGACAACTGCAGTAGTTAGCCATCAGCCAAACCTCAAAGGGAGAGCAGCATGACAGCAAGCAGTGTCCCTCCAGTTTCCACTCCAAGTTCCTGCATGGACAGGCTCTGAACCTGGACAGCAAGGTGAACAGTCAACTGTCCCAGCTTGCTCTTGAATCATTCACAGCAACAAAAGCTAAGTACAGTGGAGGGTGGTGGTGGTTAACAATTAAAAACAAATTTACACTCAGGACGGATCCAGTAAACAATGCTGCCTTGGGATGGGATGAGTTAAGAATCCACTTGTTCTCTCTTCATCTCAAGATGATACCATTTCTGGGTAGGCTTATAGTCAGGCCAGAATTCCTCTACCTAGTCCCAGACAATAGCTTGACCAGAGTAGCAGTCCCTTTAGAGTAACAGCATAGGTCTCCCCATATGATCCCAACAACTAGGCCTCTGCCCCAGAATCAAAATACTTGAAGCTCATCTTTCCTACATCTCACCTAAGTACACCCCAGGTGTCTTTAACCTGGATTAAACTTTATGATTTCTAAAGTCCAAAAATAGGCTATGTAGACTAAGACCTTGCAGTAGGCTCCAGCAATGGACAGCCACTTTTTCTACAGTCAGGCCTGTTCAAGAACACGACAACCATCTTGCAGACTTGGTGCAGACTGAAGATCAAAGTGATGATAGGATGCACTGGTGAAAGATGACCCACGCTTGGCTATTCCAGAGACTGGTGATGACCCCAGAGTATGGTTTTATTTCATCTCACTTAGCAGACCAAGACTAGGAGATTTACCGAAATTCCTTCAGAGGGTAGGCTATGAGAAGGCAGACTCAGTGACAGGGGAAAGTCCCACACAGGTCTAGAGGTCAGGGGCACCAGCCTACTTCTCCCTCAGTAGCCCTAGGTCCTTTTTCAGGCTGGATATAGGTGAGAGCAAGTTGAAGTCCTTTCCTCTAGAACCAGGCCTCAGGTTTTTGATACAATACACACAGGAAGTGAACTACAATTAGTGGGGAAGAGCTCCTTAAACTTGAAAATTTGATTTTGTTGTTCTTGCTGAAGTTGAGAGTTGGGAGTTCTGGAGCTGTTGACAAGACCCGGAAAGCTGGAGATAACCAGTCTCCCGGTGACTTCAGGAAGAGTGAATATTGCTCGTGGGAAGAGCACATAAAATATCGAAAATTCGAATCCTACCAAGATTCGCTTAGGGAACCATACAAGAACATCTGTAATTTCTTCAAGAGGGGAATGGTCGCAAAGTACATTGGAATGATCACGGATAAGCCTGAAGTTCCTGAGAAACTCACCCAAAAAGCTCCTATTAAGGGCAATTCAAGTAACTCAAACTAGCTTACCCAGGCTTTTCCCAAAGTATTTACCGGTCCCTTGTTTTAAAGTAGCATGCTTTGGAATTCAATGCAAATTTTGACTTATGCCGCCCATTTTCTCACAGCAATGACAATCAGCTTCATTTGAAGTGTCTGGAAAGCTCTGCTACTGGGGGAAGGGAGAAATGCTGTACCCAGTCCTAAACAACACAGTATGTAGCTTGTAAAGGGGGCTGACCTCAAATGGAGGTGTCTGGAATGGCCTAGGAAAGAGCAGGTACAGGAGGCTGAGGTAGGGCTATACAGGGTGGAATCATATCCATTAAGCTGTGTGTAAGAATCAGGCAGGACAGGTTAACTCCAGGACTTGAGGCCAAAAAATGAGTAGAAGGGTAAAGCGACTAATGCCACACTGGCTGTAATAGATTCTAATTGGGGCAGCATTAACTGGCTAAAACAGGCCCAGGTGGTATGAGGCAGCTGGAGAAAGCTGAGTAGCATTAGTAAGGTAGCGATTCAGACTCAAGCTAAGTGCTTCCATAGAGACTGGATTTATGAAGGATTGAATGTGGGGGATAAGGATGGATGAGGTCCTTACCATTAAAATATGAAGCTGGGGAGCTGAGAGATGGCTCGGCTATTAAGAGCACAGGCTGCTCCTTTCAGAGGACCCTGGTTCAACTCCCAGCACCCACATGACTGTTTCCAGATGTTTAACTCCAGTTCCAGGGGAACCGACATCTTCACACACGGAGGCAGTAACGCAAATTTGCATGAAATAAGTTATATATGAAGTTGACTGCTTCACTAATCGCAGTGGGAAAAGACATGCCAAAGCCTGCAGTGAGGGAGGGGAAAGCAGGACATTGATCTCAGCTGGCCTGTGCTTCTGCTTGTACCTTTAATGGAAGATACCCTTGAACAGCAGTGGAGGCTTCTCGGTACAGAGAAAAGTAGGCGCAAGCAGCCAGGTTAGTTTCTAGAGATTGAAGTCATTGATGCTGACTAGAACTTCGATGAGCAAATTGGCTACACCTGGCTGCACGGTTTGAGCCAACCCAACCGAGCCTGCCCAGCAATAAGCCAAGTGAACACCTGAGTGTTATATCAAACCTGTTAAACTTATTTTGACACACGGTACAGTATTTTTATAGAGAAAAGGCTGCCCTTAGTATCCAAATCTCTGGCGCTTTCATGTAATTTAAGCTGGAAAATATACCAAAGCCTGGATTTGCCAGATGTTTAGGAGAGCTTGAGTCACAAGTATTTTTAGAGGGTCCCCCTTTTCATGGCCAGTGCCAAGACTTTGCGCACACAGGACAGCTTGCTAAGAGCTTGCATCCTCTGGTTATTTCCCCAGAAGTCCTCAAACCAAGTGAGCCGGCAGGCTGTGTACACTACTCAGTGGCAGCTCTAGTATGGCTTAGAAAGGCTTTAAGATCCATGCGCATCGACATCTTTGCTTGCACACGTCTGAAGGTGCCAGATTCCCTGGTGAGGTGCCATGTGGGTGCTGGGACGTGAGCACCATCCTCTCCAAGAGCAGTCACTGCTCTTAACTACCGAGCCATATCCCTCCAGCCCTAGAAAGTTTTACCAACTGTTATCTGTAACAATTCTAGCAGATCACAAGACTCACAGCCTACACGACCTTGTGCCAGAATCCTAGGACAGGTATCTTGTCATTAGAAAACATCTCTAATACAGCTGTAGACCAGAGTCAGGGTAATGTTTCTCTCTATACTTTGCATGAAGGCAGCCAGAGTAATAAAGGGACTGTTTGAAGTCATAATTGTAGTTAAGTGCCCAGATGCTGCTTGCAGGCAGTTTGGTAGCCTTGAGACATCCACATCACAAAGCAAGTGCAGGGAGCAGGCTAGGACTCTAGGTTTCAAGGTTGGGGCAGGAGAAAAGTTGTGACTTAGTCAATACTTTTGAGAGACGCTAACCGCATAGGACCTCTAGAAGCCAGCCATCTTGGGAGGACAACAGATCGAAGTGGGCAGGAGTTAGCATTCCTAAAGCCTTAAGAACGTTAGTGTGCCAGCTCGAGAGACTAGGTACTAGGAAAACAGGATAGTTTCAAGTTAACACTGAGGCTCCACACAAACCCTAGAAGGACACTTTTAAAGCTCTCTGAAATTTCTAACTCCTGTAGGCTGTTAAGTTCATCTAACCACTAACTCGGTAGCAATTTAAAAGCTAAGCTAAATCAGTCCAGATAGCAAACAGGTGGGTAGCTAGCCAGGTGAACCGCGAGTAGCGGTCGGTCTGACCTACAGAGTAATTACCAAGATAGCCTCGGCTCCAGTTTCTAAGACAGAATTTGACTTTCATTTAAGGAAAATTCTTAAGAGCTTCCCATTGAGACCATTTCTCCAGTTTCCCAACTAGGGTTTCAATGCTTTTCAAGCAAGTAGCTATTAGTCTTCGTTTTGCTCTAATGAATCATCGCCAGGCTCAGAGCAAGTTCCAGGCTTTGCTTTCCCCTCCCCCCCAAGAACGGAGTTCCAACCCTCATGCCCTCTTTCCCCCTCTCCTGCCTCGTACCCAGCGCTGCCCCCACCCCGTATTTAGGAAATTGGCTCTGCCGCCTTAACAATTATATCCTTTGCTCTTGGCTTCTTTGCTACTAGGAAGTTTTAAAAGTAAGATTAGCAGGAGGAAGAGACAGGGAGAGTTCAGATCTAGAAAGCACTTTATAAAGCTTCTGCCTCAAGCAAGGAGAGTTCCTAAGTATACCCAGTGAAAAAGCAAGATTTTTTTTTTAAGCCATACGTGCCACGGCTTCAAGTCTTTTGCAAGCCTTGGCGCCAAGGCGACAGAAAACCGCCGGAGCGGAGACCGCTACGCCAACGAGAACCTCACACCGGGTACCCGCAGACTTCTACTGCGGCCCGCGCCGCCTTTTCACGGGTCCTGCCTTTGCGTCACTTCCGGGGCGGGACCGCGTGAGGGGCGGGGCGGTGTCCGCGCAGGCTCGTGGGGCTGCAGCCGCCGAGCCGAGCGCTTGACTATATATGGTCAAAGCTGGGGGCGAGCCGCGCCGGGGCCGCGCTTCCGGGTTGGGTCGTCCGCAGCGGCAGCGCGCAGGGCAGGCACGAGCGGGCCTCGGAGCCGGGCTTCGGACCGCCCCCTCCGCGCCCGGCACGCCCGGCGCCGCCTTCCGCTCAGTCCCCGGGCTCGGCCGCTGCGAGGACCCATTCGAGCGCGGCGCCGTAACAAGTGGGCGAGGATGCCGTACGAGATCAGTGAGTGCGTGGGCCTCGTAGCGCGGCCGCCGGCTTCTGGGGTCGGTGTAGGCAGTAGGGCGCGGCTGGGGTCGTGCACGGTCGCGGGGTGCGGGCCGGGAACCCCGGAGTGGGTACTGTGGGCTAGACGGGCCGAACTGCGCGACCCCGGGGCCTGGCCGCCACCGCCGACCAGGAAGTCCGCCGGCCGCGCCCGCAGGCGGCAACAGGTGACCGGCCTGGGATCCCCGGTGCTGACCGCCTGTGACTTCCCGTGTCCGGACTGTCCGGGACCGCCCCTCATGCACCGTTCCGCGTTTGTGTCTTCCCAGAGAAGGTGTTCGCTAGCCTCCCCCAAGTGGAGCGGGGCGTCTCCAAGATCCTCGGCGGAGACCCCAAGGGCGATCATTTCCTCTACACCAATGGCAAGTGCGTCATCCTGAGGAATATCGATGTGAGTACCCCATGCCCCCGCGTGGCCTGTTTTCGTCCCTGCCATGCGAGCTACCTCTGAGTCGGGAATTCTTGCCCTTCCGCCCCCTCATCTCCCAGCGGGTTGGCCTGGGGAGAAGGGTAGCCACGCCCCTTCTGCCCAGGAGCCACACCTTGGAAGGCTCAGATGACCGGACTGGACTGGACTGTTTCCTTCACCCCTTACCCCCATTGACTGGGAAACTGAGGCTTGGTTTGGTTCTTAGAGCCAAGGGCTTTGAGTCTGCTGTTACTGCTGCTTGATCATGGTCGGTTGGTGACTGGTTCTCCCTGAGCCCAGTTTCCGCATTGGGAAAATGGAGATAGTGAGAGGATCCTCTACTTCCCCTGGCTGCCTGGACCGGCTGAATGAGCTGGTCAGCTGTCCTTGTGCCGACTGTGCTTGGCACAAATGGAGCGCTTGGTAAATGGCCCTTCTGCTTAATCATCCTAATACCCCCAGCTTCCTGGTGTGCCAGAGTCCAGAAAACACACCCAGTCATCTGAACTCCCAACTGCTTTGGATTTGAGTCTCAGAAGAACAGGAACTCGTGTATTCAGCTGGGTGGTTCTCTGCAGATAACCTGCTGTTCCCAGGCCAGCCTTTTGGGAGGCCCTTGCAAATTAATGTTTTCCCTCTGATTGTTGAAATGAGTCGGTCTGCCTCCATCTCCAGGATGGTGGCTCAAATCTTGTCCCTCCCCTCCTCGGCCCTAAGGAATGGTATGGGGTGGAAACTGGAGGTGGCAGCCAGGAGTTAGGGGCACTTTACTACACCCTGCGTGGTGAATGACTGGTAAAGAGGTGGAGATGTTGGTTGCCTGCTCCACCAAGGCTGTCACCTTCAGCTCCTGCATGCATGCCGGGAGCATCATTGGACAGGTGAGGTGACTCACAGAGCCTCCCAGCTGGCTGAGGGCAGACCCTAGCTTTCTTTGTAAAGAGAGACTGCATTCTGGACTGTGGTGGCTGCAGGCTGTGACTGTATCTTTGTTAGTCTGATGGAGTCAGCCAGTCATCAACTCTTCAGTAGTTTCTGACTTCTGAAGGATGGTTGGGTACCTCAAGTGAGGTGGGAGTTTGGGTATGAGCCTGTCTTGCTAGTTGAATGGATTCCTAGAGAGCTGATCCTGCCTCCTTAGAACTGGGGAAGCCTCCTCAAGGGCTTAACACTGCACTGAGGTTATAAGGTTTTGGGAAAGTAAAGGGAAAATGGAGATGGCCACATGGGATCTGTGGATTGGCAGAGATGTCTAAAGCATCTTCACATACCCTGAGCTTTGGGGAATTCAGTTTTGCCTTCTACACAGCCTCCCTTCCCTCCATCTATTCATGTCCAGTTGGGAGAACTGGTGTAGGTCAGCTTGTCCCTTGAATCCACTGGCCTGGTACTGTCAGAGGAACAGTGCACAGGGAGGCTGAAAGGGGTGAACTCACCTCCAGTGACATGTAACCCTTCCAGTTCTTTCCCTCCAGGCTTCACTTTTCTCTCCTGGAGGTGCAGCCACTTCTGTTCCCACCCAGGTAATTTCCTGGCACGTCAGGACAACTGGTGTAGGGTACTGTTACTGCATCCTTTTGTTGCGCTGGATGTCATCCGGTATGTATTAATTTTCTGTTGGGCTACTGGTCCTCAGAGATGGGTTAGCTTTTTATTAGGGCAGTGTTGCTAGAGAAAATGAGGTGTGGATTTTCAGGAACATTCAGAATTCAGGAAGGAAGGTGATCTGGTAGGAATTCAAGTTCAGGAGGGCTGGAAAGCTAGGACTACATCATGGGAGGTCTGAATGCTTTGTAGACTTCTCACACCTATGTGTCCCTGAACCCATTTGGGGTCCTTGGATGCCTCTTCCTCCAAATTCAGCCCTATCGTTTGGTATTAAAGAGCCAAGACTACTCTGAGGTCCATAGCTACCGTGTCACATTTCATTAGAATCCTGCAGAATCTGCAGACTTGCCTTGTTTTGCTTCCTACTGTATCCAGGCGCCATGCCTGCTGCCCTGAGGTGTTCTTACTGTGCCCACTGGAGCAGCTCTGATAGTCTCCGCATGCCTCACACTCAGCATTGTGACAGTGCTCTTCCTCTGATCTTCCCTTCTCTGTCAACTCCAGATACTTGCCCTCTCACACCTCCACATCCTTCACCTCTCCTAGGACCTACTGGTGGTGTGGCCTTTGCCTGGATAGGAATTCTCCAGTGTCCACAAGGCCTGTTGTCTCTTATACTTGTGTTTAGAAATTACCTCACTAGAGGGCCTTTATCCTAAATAGCATTTCTGCCTCTGGCCTTCTCTTGCTTTCTGCTGGCAGTAAATGTGAACCAAGCCATTGCTGTTTCTGTTGCTGTTCTTAACTGTTCAGAGATGTTCTCCCTTGCCTGCAACTCCAGGAAAACAGGGCTTTTCCTGTGTCATTCACCACATATCCTCACGTTGGAACGCCTGCCACACAGTACCCCACTGAGTTCACCGCACCTTATTTCTTTTCCTGTTAGAGGGTTTCACTATATAGCCAAGGCTGCATAAAATTCAAAGTCCCCCTGTTTTCTGCCTCCCTGGTGCAGAGATAGAATGCATGGCACCACTGCATCCTAAATGTTCTGGTTCTCACCTTTGAACTTGAGTTTTCTTGCCCCCCTCCTACTGGGCTGTCAGTCTCTGACTGAAAATGCTCTGTGAACCTGGCTTTTGAATTAGCTGGTAGGAAAGGTGCTCCCTGTTTCTTTTCCTGTGTCCTGTTGCCATACTTGAAGAGGAAATTCTCAAGAGTTAAAGCATGTGGTGATAGAGGCCATCTGGAAACTGGCATTTGAAAACTTTAGTTGTGTACCTTGACACATGTGACCCCCCCCAAAAGAGGGGGAGAGCAATGTAGGGAGAACTTAAAGAAGGTATTTGGTTCCTGGGTTGTAGAGCTAATAATATCTGGGAAACTTGGCCCTATAAAATCAGGTCTCAGGGAGTGGCACACAGCAATTGTACTAAATCACTGGCTTGTCTCTTTGGGTCCCTTGGAGGAGGTTGAACCCCCAAAATTTTTCATTTGGCACCATCTGTTACCAGCCTGTGCACAAAGGCCTGTGTGGGCTCTTGCAGGTGGAGATGGGAGAAACAGGACTTGAGGACTGACAGTTCCTCTGTCCAGGTGCATACCTGATGAGTCACTGCTGCATTTCCAGGATGGCTGTCAGCCTAAGGGATACAGGTGTAAGGGTCTGCTCATGGAGCACATTGCTTAGCAAATTGAGGTCCTCATACCAAGTTGCGTGTTTGATGACCACTTAGACAGAAACGAGCACACAGTAGAAGCTTGGCATCCAGAGCCAGGAGCTCCATTCCCTTCACCCAAGACCACCTACCTGGTGGGTGAGGGCTAGACAAGGTGCTTCAACACAAGGCAGTCAGAGTCTATGGGTTCTGGTAGGATCTGTGGATAACCAGTTGGATAACGCTAGAGTAGTGACTGCAACAACATGGATGAGAGAGAAGACCGGGCTAAGAAAACACAAGACAGCAGCTAGAGGCTGTGTGTGTGGTTCAGGCTACCAGTCAGTAGCCCAGCATTATTTTGTTCTGCTTAAAGTGTGTGATCGACAGTGTAGGTGGTTGGTGGGGTGTACCAAAAAGGATGGGGGATTGAGGATTAGGAAGGCGGCACAGTCTAGATGGAAGAGAGGGGAGTAAGCAGTGATTTGTGGAGCTAGATGAGGGATGCAGCAGACAAAGGACCTTCTGTCATGGTGAGCTAAGAGTTGTGATATGGAGCAGGGAAGATATCTGATGTGCTGTTGGTGTCTGCCTGATCAGGTTAACCAGTATGCCATGAGTTACTGGGGGCATGACTGGTCAGCTTGTGAACCACAACTTATGCTTACTACCCAAGGCTGGCACTGTACCAAGTCAGTTGGGCTCCTCCAATTAATTCTCTTTCAGCATGGTATAGCATGCTGGGTCTCAGCTTGGCCTAGCATAAGTTCTGCTCTCGGTGTATGAAGGTGTGTGTGCTGCTTTGGAGCTGGGTTACTGCAGTAATACAGGTTTGGCCCTGTGTCACTAGTGAAACGGAAGGGCCCTATACAATTTGTTTAGCACAGGCCTGCCCTTAGCAGAATCTGCTCCCAGTCCCTGCCACCTCTAGCCTGGGAGTACTTGGAACACAGTGCCCTTCCTGGAAGTGTGCCTCCACCCCATCCAGGTGAATGG